CAGTCACTTTCAACAACAGAAACATAAACAAGTTTCATATTGTAGTATCCTTCCACAACTCAGGAGACAGGAAAACCTCTATTAAGTAAGTGACAAAATCACTAGCTGCCTAGCACAATTCAAAGAAACCACAAATAAATATTTGTCTTCCTAAGCAAGATCCCCCCCCAAATACATACTTGTCACTGTTGGCCAGCTGCTTGAACTCCTTCACTGTCATTGGCTTTTTCTGAATGTTGTACTGTGTGAAGAGCCCTGACTGGCCAGTGACCATCTGCTGAATTGGAGCAGGAATCACCAGATCTTCAATATCATTATAATGTTTTCTTGGCTTCCACTCCTTCGGTGGGATAACCTTTAAAGTCAGAAATAAAAAACAGGACATCAACAGTTGCAATACCAATTCAAAACTTTCTGAAAAAATCAGAAGAACTGCTCAAATATGCCCACATCATCAAATGAGTGCTTGCTTACCAGCTGATTCACAATAACTAACTAACCATGTAAGTGCTCCTAGATAACACAGAAACCAATTCAAAATAGGCATAGTATCACCTCAATTTATAAGCAACAACTCACTAATCTACAGCAATTCAATCATGTGCAACTGTGCAAACGTACGCATGTATAATAACAGACAAATGATTTATAATCAGAGCCTTATAATTCACAAAGACTTCATACTCCACGATACAAAATTGTTATCCTCAATTTAAAAAAAAAAAAAAAAAATTCCTACAAAAGATTGATAGTCCCTTGTCCAAATGTTATTTGATGTAAACAGTATGAATAACTTCATTTCTTAACAAAAAATGAAAAAAATACACCTATTTTAGAGAGCTTTAGATTTTAAAGTCTGTTTAAGTTACTCACCATAAAACTGCAGGGTACAACTCTACTACAGGAAGAGTTTGCACTAATAGAGATATACTAGTTTTTACGCTAACACAATTTAAACATTATAATTAAAGCTATGCACAGATTAACCAATTGTAAAGTTAACACTTATTTCAAATACCACAGAATTGCCCAAAGTCTACAAAAACTCCCCAGCAGATTCTAAAGTGTTAGTAATAAAGTCATTAGGAATTTTAAAGCTTGTAGTCATAGAATCATAGAATTGTTCTGGCTGGAAAAGACCTTTAAGACCATCAAGTCCAACCACTATCTAACTCTACCAGGCCCACTTCTAAACCATGTCCCTGAGCACCAAATCCAGACAGCTTTTAAATGCATCCAAGGACGGCGATTCAATCACTTCCCTAGGCAGCCTGTTCCAGTCTTTGATAACCCCTTCAGTGTAGAAGTTTTTCCTAATGCCTAACCTTAAACTCCCCTGGTGCAAGTTGATGCCATTTCCTCTTGTCCTATTGGCTGTAACTTGGGAGAAGAGACCAACGCCCACCTCCCTACAACCTCCTTTCAGGTAGTTGTAGAGAGCAATAAGGTCTCCCTGCGGCCTCCCTTTCTTCAGACTATGCAACCACAAGTCCCTCAGCCACTCCTCATAAGACTTATTATCAAGACCCTTCACCAGCTTTGTTGCCCTTCTCTGGACCCTCTCCAGCACCTCAATGTCCTTCTTATACTGCAGCGCCCAAAACTGAACACAGTCCTCAAATTGCGGCCTCACCAGTGCCGAGTACAGTGGAGCAATCACTTCTCTAGCCCTGCGGGCTGCACTATTCCTGAGGCAAGATGCCATTGGTCTTCTTGGCCACCTGGGCACACTGCTGGCTCCTGTTCCGCCGGCTGTCAATCAACTCTCCCAGGTCCCTTTCTGACAGGCAGCTCTTCAGTCACCCGTCCCAAAGCCTGTAGCATTGCACAGGGCAGTTGTGGCCCAAGTGCAGGACTGGGCACTTGGTCTTCCTGAAGCTCATTCTATTGGCCTCAGCCCATCAATCCAGCCTGTACAGGTCCCTCTTAAGAGCCCTCCTACCCTCAGGCAGATCAACACTCCTACCTAACTTGGTGTCATCTGCAAACTTATTGAGGATGCTCTCAATCCCCTCATCAAGATCATTAATATTGATATTATACCAGTGTTCTTTAACAGTCTGTGTAATTTTGACCATTCCTTGCATATATTATTTTATCTGAAAACATTCTACATTTGAAATTGCAACAGTTTTAAAATACAGTTTTTGGTTTGGTTTTGAACATTTTCTTGCCCAAAGGCTCAGTGATAAGCTCTTTGTTTCACTCATTACACATCATCAAATGAGTGCTTGCTTACCAGCTGATTCACAATAACTAACTAACCATGTAAGTGCTCCTAGATAACACAGAAACCAATTCAAAATAGGCATAGTATCACCTCAATTTATAAGCAACAACTCACTAATCTACAGCAATTCAATCATGTGCAACTGTGCAAACGTACGCATGTATAATAACAGACAAATGATTTATAATCAGAGCCTTATAATTCACAAAGACTTCATACTCCACGATACAAAATTGTTATCCTCAATTTAAAAAAAAAAAAAAAAAAATTCCTACAAAAGATTGATAGTCCCTTGTCCAAATGTTATTTGATGTAAACAGTATGAATAACTTCATTTCTTAACAAAAAATGAAAAAAATACACCTATTTTAGAGAGCTTTAGATTTTAAAGTCTGTTTAAGTTACTCACCATAAAACTGCAGGGTACAACTCTACTACAGGAAGAGTTTGCACTAATAGAGATATACTAGTTTTTACGCTAACACAATTTAAACATTATAATTAAAGCTATGCACAGATTAACCAATTGTAAAGTTAACACTTATTTCAAATACCACAGAATTGCCCAAAGTCTACAAAAACTCCCCAGCAGATTCTAAAGTGTTAGTAATAAAGTCATTAGGAATTTTAAAGCTTGTAGTCATAGAATCATAGAATTGTTCTGGCTGGAAAAGACCTTTAAGACCATCAAGTCCAACCACTATCTAACTCTACCAGGCCCACTTCTAAACCATGTCCCTGAGCACCAAATCCAGACAGCTTTTAAATGCATCCAAGGACGGCGATTCAATCACTTCCCTAGGCAGCCTGTTCCAGTCTTTGATAACCCCTTCAGTGTAGAAGTTTTTCCTAATGCCTAACCTTAAACTCCCCTGGTGCAAGTTGATGCCATTTCCTCTTGTCCTATTGGCTGTAACTTGGGAGAAGAGACCAACGCCCACCTCCCTACAACCTCCTTTCAGGTAGTTGTAGAGAGCAATAAGGTCTCCCTGCGGCCTCCCTTTCTTCAGACTATGCAACCACAAGTCCCTCAGCCACTCCTCATAAGACTTATTATCAAGACCCTTCACCAGCTTTGTTGCCCTTCTCTGGACCCTCTCCAGCACCTCAATGTCCTTCTTATACTGCAGCGCCCAAAACTGAACACAGTCCTCAAATTGCGGCCTCACCAGTGCCGAGTACAGTGGAGCAATCACTTCTCTAGCCCTGCGGGCTGCACTATTCCTGAGGCAAGATGCCATTGGTCTTCTTGGCCACCTGGGCACACTGCTGGCTCCTGTTCCGCCGGCTGTCAATCAACTCTCCCAGGTCCCTTTCTGACAGGCAGCTCTTCAGTCACCCGTCCCAAAGCCTGTAGCATTGCACAGGGCAGTTGTGGCCCAAGTGCAGGACTGGGCACTTGGTCTTCCTGAAGCTCATTCTATTGGCCTCAGCCCATCAATCCAGCCTGTACAGGTCCCTCTTAAGAGCCCTCCTACCCTCAGGCAGATCAACACTCCTACCTAACTTGGTGTCATCTGCAAACTTATTGAGGATGCTCTCAATCCCCTCATCAAGATCATTAATATTGATATTATACCAGTGTTCTTTAACAGTCTGTGTAATTTTGACCATTCCTTGCATATATTATTTTATCTGAAAACATTCTACATTTGAAATTGCAACAGTTTTAAAATACAGTTTTTGGTTTGGTTTTGAACATTTTCTTGCCCAAAGGCTCAGTGATAAGCTCTTTGTTTCACTCATTACACTCAGTCTTTTCCATGGTTCTCAAATCAAATTTTCACAAGCATTGGCTTGGAAACTTTTAAAGCAACATATAACAAAGCAGGATGGCTTTCATAAACATGCATTTACCACATGTAAATTATGTTACTTGAATAATTAATTCACATCTTAAAGGTAGCCTTCACACTAGGCCAGCTAGGCTTTTCCTCTAACAAGCATTTCAGGATTCCACACAATATTGTTCATTAGAGATTTTGCTAATACATGACTCCAAGAAAGTAAGAAATTCTAAAAAAATAATACAGACAGATCCTGAGATCATTTTCTACCTTTGGAAAACAATCACAAATGGGCAAATGGTAATGCTAACGTACTCAAATAGTCCATCCCTCAAAGAAATCTCATCAAGACCACTCATGCTAGCTAGCACACACCAAAACAGAAACACCAAGATGAAGAAAAGTTATCAGATAGTAACATATTTCCACACCTCATGTTTTTATTTTAAATACAAAGTCATTTTTGTCCAGTTTTTACATAGATGCAACTCGCTCTTTTCCTTTTCCCCTTCTCACCTTCCATGGAACTTGAGTTGTACAGGGACTATTTAGCAAGTTTTAGTGTTGTTAGCTTTTAGAGAATTAAAAAAAAAAAACATATCATCTTGTGATTCCTACTTATTTCTTCCACACAAGTCTTAAATTATATGCACATAAAGAAAATACAAAATGTTGGTTTGGAAGCAGAGAAGTCATGCATTCAGAATATATGCATAGAAATCAAATATGTGCACAGAGATTTCCATTTTCATGATTATTAAGCATGAACTTGTAGGTTTGGCTCAAATATATGAATACTGAAAAGCAAAATTTGCATTATCTTATTTAATTCAAGGTCAGTGTGTTTTAAGCAATAAAAATATTTTTGTGAATACAGGTTCAAAATATCCCCTTCCCGGTAACTCGAGCATGTTTATTACTGTTGTAATGAGACTACTGGTTAGAGAAGTGAATTCTGTGATGACTGATATGCTAAGTATCATTTTAAAAGAAAATAAAAAAACCCAGTCCCTGCGCCAAATAATTTGCATTTTCTAACAAAGGTCAGGGCAAAGACTGAAGACAAAACATCATGTCCAAAGCAATACACAGCTAGTCAGTATCAGAGTTGGAAATAATCACTATGTCTCTGAGTTTTTACGACTGATCTGTCCCACTGAAGCCTCCTCACATTCCCTTTAGTAAAAATAACCCCTTCAAAGTTGGGCAAGTTAGGTTTATTCCATGGAAGCAACCCAGATCAAATTCATCAGCCAAGCTGTTCAATGCTCATATATAAAAAAGGAAAACCTGGGGCAAGGCTTTCTCATTTATTTATCTATATATGTATCTCAAACA